GAATTAAAGTTTTTAATAGTTTTGAAATTGTTTTTATAGTTTTATGGTTTGAATTTGAAATTCAAATTTTGATTTAATTATGTATGATATACATGCGCTGTTTCAAGGTCTATTTGGTGTATTTGTACTTGTTTGTGCATAGTGTATTTGCATGTCTGACTATAATTGTGACTTGCTTTATATTATAGACATATTTTTATTAATTTTTATTGTTTAATAATTATATAATAATATAACTTATATTATATAAGTATGAAAACTATTCATGATGTATATACAATTACCGTATCTATACTTAATATTACCAAATGTACATAATAAAATAAAATGTATTTCCATTTAATCTAGATTGATCGTATAAAATGTACTTATTCAGCTTATTTTCAAAAGTTTTATTATAATCAGTTAAATAATATATTTTGTAATTTATTTACTCAGATACTCAATATTTTAATTACTGTTGTTTAATAAACATAATGAACAAATTTGAGTTATTGAGAAATTACATGTAATTAATAATTTAATTAATCGTATTTTTAAAAAGATCATTGTCTGGGTTAAATAATACGTCAATTGTACATAATTCACAGAATAAATAGTTCATTGAACAAAAAACAAATTTAAAAAGTTTCTATAAATACCACTAGGTATTTTTAAAAAATAATTGTTTTAGCATTATTGTTTAAAATTGCCCATTTAAACGCGATTACTATTGTGTTATTAATTGTGTTCTTGACAGTTTTTGTACGTGGCAACGTGGATCATGGTAACCCGAAGCCATATAAAGCAAAAATGTGTGACCCTGCTATAATGAGCGATGACCTGGCTGTCAAGTTGGGAAAATGCGATGAATTGTACCATACGGAGACTCAGAAAGATATCGATAAAGTATGTTGGTTATTTGAATTATTAAACTATTGTGCAAGTTGCTATTATAAAAAATATACATCATGTTAATTAAATTCTAATAATTATAATTGCAATTATACTGATTGTGGTCATTTTGTGATATTTAAAAAGTTTGAAGACTTGCACAAAGATTGCCAGAAAAAAGAGAGAATTTTTCGCAAAGTTTACGAAATTAACGAAAGCTGAAAACCGATACTATTTGTACGGTACGTGCGATGAGCTGGATCAAAAATGCATTAAGGATTACTATAATAAGATAAAGGAGGTTTATGAAAAACATAAACAATCGTCGTATGTAAGTACCTTACTTATATTATTTTTGTGAAGTTTGTGAAGTTTTTAAAATATTATGGTTTTTGCAGGATTGCTACTCAAAAGTGTTTGGTGTTTGATATGAGCAATGTTATTAAATTAACGTGTTATTTATAATAATGCTAATTCTTAAACATAAATTGTAAAGATAAATGCATTATTAATTATTTATAACATGTATTGAGAATAAATAAATTCAATTCAATTTGGCATTACAAATTTGTAATTAATTATTTTGAAAAATAAAAATATTTTAATTATAATTATATTTTAATTAAACCTGTAGGTTTTAAAATTAAATAAATATCATAAAACTTATATTTTTAGAAATTGATACAAAAATATATTAGATTATATTGTATTTATATTTAATTAAAAAATAAAACATAAAAATAAAATTAAATTAAAATTTTGCAAATTAAATTAATGTTAAAACATATTACATATTTTACTTATATACCTTTTTAAACATTTTATAATATTAGGTCGTACGGAAAGGTTGTTTCTGGCTATAATTTAAATTTCTCTGGAATGGC